GGTCTCGATCCTGGCCTCAAGCGATTCTCCCAACTTCCAAAGTGCTGGGATTGCAGACATGAGCCACTGTGCCTGGCCTAAAACAGCAATTCTAAGCTCTAATGAGGATGCCAAGTAATGAGCAATGCACATACCCTCTCTATGCAACGCACTGTAGCAATATGTGTCAGAATACTGGAAGGAAATAATATCTTAACAGTGGTATTTATTTTTCCTTTGCAAACATTTTTATCACTCCAAAAGAAATTCTGTTAGTAGTGTCTACTATTAGTAATCATTCCCTATTCCTCCCCTCCTCCAGCCCGTGGCAACCACTAACCTATTAATACTTCCTGTCTCTATGGGCTTGCATAGTCAAGACATTTCATAAAAATGGAATCATACACTATGTGGCCTTTTGTATCTGCCTTTTTCCACTTAGCATTAATATTTTCAAGGTTCATCTATGTCATCCAAATCAATACTTTATTCCTTTTTTTAGAGATAAATAATATTCCATTGTCTGGATATATCAAATTTTGTTTACCAGTTCATCAGTTGATGGGCATTTGGGTTGTTTCTACCTTTTGGCTGGTCTGAATAATGCTGCTATTATAATTTACGTACAAGTTTTTATGTGGATGTATGTTTTTTGTTTCCAATTCTCTTTAGTATATACCTAGGAGTGCTTTTATTCATTTTTTACAATTCAGGTTTACAGTAAATATGTACTATGTTTTATGATCCAAAAAACAATGTGTAGCCTTAAAAAATAAAACACAACAAGATTCAATGGGCTTAAAGGATGCTGGTGAGATAAACTTAACATGGTCACTTCTTGATTTCTTCCAATAACTGTTGACTTCTCAAAGTAAAAAGACAGAACTAGAAGATTCCAGAAGAGGGAAACAATATTTTAGTATTTTTACTCATGTGCAGAGAAATCCTTTTGTTAAGCAGAGGGCAGGGGCAGGTGGTAGGGGGATGAAATAGCAAATGCCTTGCTAACACGATGAGGTGAGAAGGTATTAAAGAACATTTGAGCCAGAATTAATGTTTCTCTTGGACTATCAGTAACAGACATTTCCCAACTGACTATTATGGGAATGCACGGCGTGCAGGGAGGGCTGCAAAGAGAAAAGGGCGCAAAAATGACTACTGAGACATGCAAAGTCCCGGCCCTTGAAAAGCTGGAAATAATTTGCAGACGCTGAAGCCAAATGTCTGACAAAATGAAAGGGACAAAATGTGAGCACACACAACTACGGAGAGGTCCCGAATTGAGTGTGAGCTGAGGTTCAAAGGACGAGAATACCCCAATAGGAAGGGAAAGGAAGATGGATGGAGGGAGAGGAACTTTAGGGCAGGGAGACAGCATGGGCGCAAGGAGGCTCTGGTTCCACGTGGAGAGCAGAGTGGTCTGGGGAGACTGAGGCACTGGGTTGGAGGTGAACAGCTGAGGCTGGACACAATGACACGAAGTGAGAGTAGCAAGGGAAGGACCACCTTCTACTGGGCTTTGGATAATGCCGAGGAACACGGAGTCCAGAAAAGAAGCCGAAGTCGAGGGTAAGCTCTAGGCCAACGTAGAGACAAAACAGGAGGTAAAACAAGCAATGTAAGCAAAAATAAGCAAATAAGAACAAAATAAGCCAGGCGCAGCAGCTCACGCCTGTAATCCCAGCACTTTGGGAGGCCGAGGTGGGAGGATGGCTTGAGCCCAGGATTTTGAGGTCACAGTGAACTATGATGACACCACTGCACTCCAGCCTTGGTGACAGAGCGAGACTCTGTCCCTAAAAAAAAGGGAAAAAGGAGAAAGAAAGGAAGGAAGGAAGGAAGGAAGGAAGGAAGAAAGAAAGAAGAAAGAAAGAAAGAAAGAAAGAAAGAAAAAGAAAGAAAGACAGTGAAAAGATGCAGACTATGGCGGCTGTGGGCGGGAAGTGGGGGAGCCCAGAGCTCCTCACCGGATGCAGATCACGTCGTAGGGAGATGGTCGGATAAAGTCAGGAGACTGGAAAACTGGGATGGACAGTTACCCTTCATCATCTCTTTCTGACTTGAATTCTTCAGAAATTTCTCACAAATCCAAGTCGACATTCTTTTTTTAGTCTAGTATTACTGGGACCCTGGGTGGGAAATGCAGCATTGTTGCAGCTTCCAAATATCTATGCCCACAGCTTCCATTTCTTCTTCACGTGCAGCCAAGGCCAAAGAATCTGACTTCTGCTCCTTGTGCTCTACTGAACTGGCTTCTTAGGAGCTGCCACTATTCAAACGTTTCTTTGGCGCCAGAGTCGTACAGGCGCTGTCAGCGTTAGGAGAAATTTCTGGCTCTGAAAATCCCACACTTTTCTCTCACTGAGGAAAATGTAACTTCATGTAAAACAAGTAAAATCATTCATGAAAGAAGCTGTATTACTCCGTACAGATACTTCACCTATCACCGTCTGAGACAGCTCCTGATGGACTGAGATCCAACACTGGTGACACCGCAGGGAGCCGGCTGCTCCAGAATTCACCAGCCTCTTCTCACTCTTCATGGTGTCAACGACCCCTCCCTTGACTTCTTCCTTCTTGAAATCTCTCTTTCTAGCGTCCCCATGGCATTCTTTTTACTATTTCTTTGAAAGGGAAAAGGAACTAGCCATCACCATGCTTTATATACCTCATTTATTCGTCTCTACCATCTCAGGAGGTGCTTCAACATGCCCCAGTCTATGTGGTAATAACGCTGGGCTCAGAAAGGCTAAGTAAGCTGCCTGAAGTCCCACAGCTACCAAAATGCCCATTTCAGATCCCGGGTTTGGCAGCCTCTTTTCCTAGATGTTTTTCTCCCATTGTACTTCTAACTAGGTCCCCAAGATTCTTAGTTCTCATGAGTTGACATTCTTTGATTATATTCACCGTCTTCAGCCCTCGCTGCTATTGAAACTATTCCCAAGTCCCCAGTTTGAACTCCACTCCTCTCCCCCTGCTCCGGGGCTGCACCACGGTCTGCTGGCCTTCTCCAGCATGCTCCTCTGGCCTGCCTGGTGTGGTCAGTCACGAGGGGAGATGAGCAAGTTCCAGGGCGGTGACTAGGGTCAGAAAACAAAGGTGGCATGACTGCAAGCAGCAGGGGAGGGTGGTGCAGGTACCTATGGAGGAATAAATGATATCTCTAACTTGTTTAAATTAGATAATTACATGTCCATGCCATTAGCATGCATGTCTTGATGACTAATAGTCTAAACAGCACAACCGCATGAAACGACTCCACAGACACCCACAGTCCCTGCTAATCTCCCCCCGAACTGGGGAGGGGCCACGTGAAGGGTTTAGCACATTTTGGTTCTTAGGCAACTGCTCAAGGATCTCTTAAAGATATGTCTTTTTATTTGTTTTTAGAAAATGCTAACATAGATTTTAAACTCTTTTGCAGACATCGATATTTTTAAAAATTATTCAATTAAATGCATATTCCTGCATCTCTGCCGGGATAGGTGTTCACTGTTTTGCAATGTTTGCTTTCTCTCTACACTATTACTCGGAATGAATAAATAATAACTCAAGCACTAGATTGTGGTAAGCTTCAGAAGGAAAGGTCTGAACTATTTTCATTCTCATGAACAGTCTTGTGATATGTACTAATCTCTATCAATAACGTGTGTAAAGCACTTACTTTAAACAAGCTTTATAGTAGTAACTTAGGTTCTTGTTCTGCAGGTTTGAATCTTGTTCTCTAATTCAATTTTTAAGAGTTAGAACAGATGGCTATTACAACTATCGATTTTTTTAAATTTCAAGGTTTAGGTAAGTTTTAAAGCTATTGTAGGCAGAACTTGAAACAAGGAGAAACATCTCACACTGAGACCTGATGTTATTCCCAGCTCTGCCACCAATGCCCTGGCTACCTTACCCTTGTGATCACAGCTCTCACCGTGGGTGTCTCAGCTTCTTCACTCTAAAAGGTTCGTCTGGCTCAACTTGGTGTGGATCATTTCTTAAACTGTAGGATTATAAGTATACAAAGTGGGAAGAATGAGCTTGTTTACTGGGTGGAGAGCCAGGAATGGAACCTCCGGCAGGCCCCAGCCAGATCCCTTTTAGATTGTCTGAGTCTGCTGTCTCCTGTAACAGAATACCGCAGACTCGGTGGCTTAAACAAGAGAAACTTATTTCTTACAGTTCTGGAGGCTGGAAGGTCTACGATCAAGGCACCAGCAGATTCAGTGACTAGTAAGGGCCCGCCTTCTGCTGTATCCCCACTTGGCAGAACCAGCCAGGGAGCTCTCTGGGGTTTATGAGGACACTAATCCCATCATGAGGGTACAACCCTCATGACCTAATCACCTCCCAAAAGGCCCACCTTGAAGTACATTCACATTGGGGATTAGGTTTCAACCTATGAATTCTGGGGGGACACATTCTGACTCTTTCTCCCCTGGGATTTGCTCTCCTGTTTGGCCTTTTCTCACAGGCTGGTGGGAAAACAGGCGTGGGGATGCCTCCAGCTTGGGAGAATCCTGGCCCCTGGACAGTGTGTGGGGTACGGCTTAGTCCATTTCCCATTCAGGCCTCAAGCAGCAATGCCATTCCATTCCTTTCCTTGCATTTACCTTTCCTAGTCATTGGAGTGGTGAGACCTAAATGGCTGAGTTCAGATCTCAAGCCCAGAGGAGAAGGGCCAAAGGGACCACTGGCTCTTTTCTAAATGTCATTAAGGGCCAGTGATTCTCACAGTAGAACCGCAAGCAGAGGTTAGGCCTTACCCAGAATGATTAAACAGAATCTCTGTGGGCAGGGCCCGCGCATATGTATCTTTTAAAAGTTCTCCAGGTGATTCTAACATGCAACCAACATAGAAAAACCCTACTTAAAGCCATAGGACTGCCTGTGGCTGAGGTAAAAGGAAGATTTCAAAATTAACACTTGATAAAAACTCTTCTAATAATTCTGATGTGAGTGGCAGAATATGTTAGATTATTTATAAAATATCAAAGGAAAGACAGTAAACAAAAAATACATTATTGCTAATGTTTTGATTGTATTCAAAGTTTTATTTTTTGAACAAAAAACTTAAGACAATGATTTTAAATAACAAAACATGGTATATTCTAGACACTTATTGGGGTTTTCTTTTTAAAAAGACAGTTTATTAAATTTGGACTTCTACAGTTCTGTTGTAATGCTTTCTTCAACATTTATATTATTTCTTACCATTTTATCATCACTCCAAACTTGATAAACAAAGAATCACTCTGTGTGCTTAAGTGAAGCTTCACTTTAAGGAAACACTCCACTACCACATTAAACACACGTACAGAACAGTCATTTTTTTATATTTACAAAACACAAGAAGTCTGTCCAGCCATTTTGGTTTTGTTGTTGCATTGCCCATACTGAGATCAGCAAAAAGCTAAGTAATAAACAAGGTTTTACTTCAGCAGTGCAAAGGATGGCATCAACCAAACTTCATTAAACAAACCAACAAATTATGAACAGGGTCAGCAAAATTCAACTCAAAGAATAGTAATTCAACAAAAATAAACACATAGTGGGTCACAACTAGACTGGTTTTTACTGTGCAACTTTCCTCAGGGAACAATACTATCCATTTCACATAAAGAAAGGAATATGCATCCAAGCCTTTGTTCATAAAAAATGCCCTTCAAACAATTCATCATAAGGCAAAAAAAAAAAAAAAAAGAATGAAGCATTTTGGCCCAGAGAAAAGCTTTAACTATAATGTGTATACACATTTATAGATATATTGCAATTTAAACCATGTATATAGTCATTAGACAATTGAATGAATTGGCTCAGTAAAGTGAAAAAGTGTTCATTTTCTATAAATATGTAGTTATTGCTAATATGCTACACAGTATGCTTTGACATGGAAACTGTAGTAACTTAGAATTTGAAGCTGCCATATTGCCAGTGTTAGCCCTGCAGCAGGCATTGGTACGACAACATGCCATCCAATCCTGAAGAAAAAGCAAAATACCACTACAGAAAAATGAAAGGCTTATGCACTGTCCCTTACATTTTTGCTTATTTTTTAAAAACAAAAACAAGTCCAGTTCACCACAAGTTAAGCACAACCTGACAAGCAAGTTTAGCGGCATGGTGGGGGAGAAAAGTGAAGTACGGCATGCATTTACAACTAGCGCTCATCTAGTCTACTTTGTCATACAAACTGGAATACAAAAATCCAATTTAAATAAGACTAGACTATAATAGTAAAAAAAAAAAACACACACACAGTAGACTTAGTTTGATACTGATTAATTTTAAGAGTAAAACTCATCCTGTCCCCTCTTAATACTCTACTGCAATTTATTTATTGATGGCTAGAATATTTACTTAAAAAAGATATTAAATACCTGTATCGTGAAATTACATTCTTATTAACAATATGACATACTGTGTAAGAAAATAGCTCATGTGTGAAATGTGTCTGAAATGCATTTTTCCTTACAACTATCAAAACATCCACTCACACTAAAACAAAACCACTCCCAACCCCCACCCCTGAAAAAAAGTTAAGGAAAGATGGGGTGGGTCGGGTAAGGAGCAGGGAAGGAGAAGACTTAGCTATACTAATTACAGCACAGTGATTAACAATGGTTCAAGACAGAACCAACAAGAGTTGGTCGAAAAGATGCCTTCAATACATGGCTACAATTAAAAACCAAACTTAGCCACTTTTGGTTCATTGCAGTGAGACCAAAAAAATATCGCTTACAGATTCATATAAATATTAGCCTCCAGCTCTTTTATTATTATTAGTTTTGAAAAGTTTTTCCGTTTGTTTCTGTAAGGCCTAGCTACCTTATTACAATTTATATTTGCTCTGCAACAACTATAAGAGGTAGGCATAAAGCATGAAAAAGTTTCTTAGTACCTCGCTGTGGGCTGTTCACTGCGTTAATACCGTTCACATTGGACATGAACAGTCATTACCTTCTGGTCTTTTCTAAACCCCCAAACAAAGCTGCTGCCATCCCACCCACAAATATTCTAAAAGAGTGTACTCACAAATAAGAAACTTTCTCTATTGAAGGATACTGTCATAGTGTTTGTTGCAGAGCATTCATATATATTTATATATATGCATTTATTCATTTATTTTAAAAAAATAAACAACAAAAAACAAACCCAGGTTCCTAGAACCAATTCTCTTGATTTTCTACTTCCACAAAATAAAGTGTATCATTTGGCCAAGACTACAGATGTGTTTTTTTTTTTTTCACAGACACAAGGGCCATGCAAAAATAAATTAAAGAACAGATACCAAAACATACATGTGATAAAACTACTGAAGGTAGATCTTTTAAAAGCATTTATATAAACATAATTTATAATACTTCTCTTTTTTCCTTTATATACAGTCACAAAGCTGTAGTTATACATCTAGGATTTCCTCTGCTGTACCCCCACAGCGCAATCTGTAGCGACCAGTTCTCCAGCTTATAGTAGGGTCCCATAATGCCGACAAAAAAATGTATATTGTCATGGATTCGCGGATGAACCAAGCGACAGCATAATCAAGTTTTGAAAAACACAGTGTGCCACCCTAGAAATTAAAAAAAAAATTTATTTACTCACTCTCAGACTGAAGACAGTTAAAAAAATGAAATTCTTGGATTTCACTTTTCTAAGTATACTACATAAAATCAAATCTGTTTCCTCAGGTAATTTAATTACCATGCTACATCATTTAAGAAAATGTTAATTATTAGTAGAAGCAACACGAAAATAATGACTATGCTAACATATTCTTAGTTCGAGTACTCACTGATATGCTGAACATTATGTTTTTGGAACCTTAATAAAAGTGTACGATCAACTGAAAGATGCAAATCAAGTTAAGTTTTGCGTCAACATTCTGCTAGAGAAAGTAAAGTTTATTTTTATCTTTTTAAGAATATGAAAGGGGGGAGTGAGGAGGGGAATTCGATTTTCTTTTTTATTTTTGAGACGGAGTCTTGCTCTGTCGCCCCGGGTAGGTTGCAGTGGCGTCATCATAGCTCACTACAGCCTCAAACTCCTGGGCTAAAGCCATCCTCCCGCCTCAGCCTTCCAGAGAGCTAGGATTACAGGCGTGAGCCATGAAAATAATGTTTAAACCTGATAGTAACCTTCAATGGGAAGCTGAATAAATGGCTCAGAGAGATTTTCTTCAGCCTTTTCTAAATTAAAACAGTTTTAGTTACGCCAAATGACTGCCAACCTTTTCGTGCCTATCTACATACCTGGACACCCCTGAGTTGAATGTAGTCAAATATAAACCACGCCAGGCAATGACACATGAAAAATACCATAATATCCCATCTGAATACATGATGGGCTGCCCATCCAATAATTAAACTGGCAACAAAGCATTCTGAAATTGGTTCACAAATTATTGTAGCAGGAAGCATGTTAATTCTCAATTTGGTCCACCTAAAAAAAAAAAAAATAAGGATTTTCCTTAAAATGACAGCCTGGTTACAAAACTAATCATTCCTTTCCCAAAGTAATCAACTTTTAACCTTGTGATATAGTCTCTTCTCTTTAAACATCTTTAAAAAATGAATCTCTTTTCTTTTTTTTTCTTTTCTATTTTTATTTAGTATAGCAAAGAAAAAAGTCTATAAATTCGTTTGTATGGCCTATACTCTGAGGAACATAGATCATAACATTTTATCAAAGTATAGAAAATTAGAAAATAGAGATCAGCATATTAAAAAAATTCAAAGTTTCAATATCTTTTTTTAATGCCTTCAGTCTAACACAGCAAAGAAAATACATTTAGACATTAAATTTACTTTAATATAGAAGTTAGACTATTTTCTGGAACTAAACTAAACTCTGACCTTTAGACCAATTTTTTTTAACCATATGAGACCATGTTTTAATAAAAATCCCCCCTCCCTTTTCTTTTAACGAACTATTAAAAAGTTGATTTACCTGATCATTCTGGATTGAAACTGAGAAATTGAATATGAGCCAGAGTTTTGCATTGCAACTTGGGTGGACATTGCAAACCTCCAACCTCTGAAAATTAAGACAATTATAAAATAAGCCATGATGACGAACACGTGTAAGCATGACTGGTTATGCATTCATTAATCACTATTAGGAGTGAGCCCAGTCCTCAGGATTAGCACACTACTTAGGGTATACTATACTTATGGATGTTTCAGCAATTACGCTGGCTCATGACAGCATTGTCTAAGAGCTGAAAGAAACTATAATCTCCTAACTTTACAGTTAAGAAACGTAAAATGCAGTCACTCTGAAATTACTAAATGGAGAGAGTTCTGTATTTAATAGTTTAGTCGCTGATGACTACTAACCAAAAAAACAACAAAAAAAAAATTGTGTGTGTGAATATTCAACAAGAAATATAAAAAAAAAAAAAAGTGGCATAATGTATGTCATGTATCTCACTAGGAAACCATGAACCATACAACAACCATCAGGAGAATTTTTTGTTTTGAGACGGAGTCTCGCTCTGTTGCTCTGCCTAGAATGCAGTGGCATCATCATAGCTCACTGCAACCTCACATTCCTGGCTCAAGTGATCCTCCTGCCTCAGCCTCCCAAGTATTTGAGACTACAGGTGCACGCCACCATGCTCAACTAAGTTTTCTATTTTTTGTAGAGACGGGGGTCTTGCTCTTGCTCAGGCTGGTCTCGAACTCCTGAGCTCAAGCAATCCTCCCGCCTCCCAGAGTGTGAGAATCACAGGCGTGAGCCACCGCGCCTGGCCCATCATGAGAATTTCTAAAACATACTTCAATTTTTAAAAGCACATTTTAAATGATCACACAAGGCAGTAATCCCCTTTAAAATCAAAGAAGTATTTTGTAATAAATGCTAAGTCAATCATACGAATCTTTAGGTAGCTTCTTAGCAAAGCATCAAATAATTTACTGAGAAATTTCAAAATTTGAAATGATATTCCTTAAATTTTCACCTACTGGCTTATGACTGCCAGTTTTATTTTTTAAAAAAATTTAAATTGATTAGAGGGCACAAGTGTTTTTTTGTTATATGGTTGAATTGCATAGTTAAGAAGTCCAGGCTTTTAATATTCCCATCACCTGAATTGCTGATAGTTTTAATTCTCCCATAACACATAGAAATTTACATCTATACTAATCAAAATTCACAATCACAGAGAAGCTTCCTTTAATCACTTTAAAACACATTAATTTGAAAAGTTTACAGGAATCAGAACATTTACTTACTTCATTAGTATATATCTATAATTATATAATTAGAATTATGAACCACTGTCTAAAATTATTATTCTATTCTGTACTCAGTAGCAAAAAATAAAATAAAAAAGCCCTAATCCATGGGTTGAACAAAAAGAATAAATCAACAGAAGTTAGGTAATAAAAATACTAAGGCTTAATTTAGTTTTCTTACCGGTCAGCTATAGCTTTGGCCATAAAGTAATCTTCAGCAATGTATTGAGCAAAAGCTATAAGTCCTCCTGCTTGATCCAACACATCCTTTCTCATTAGACAAGACATTCCTGTTACACATTTGAAACCAGTTACATTGGCAGAGATATAGTACCTCGGATGTGAAGTTCCAAAATATACCTGTCCCCAAAACACAAATGTATACAATTAGAATATTATGCTAAAAGTACGGTGCTTATAAATTTTTTCCTAATGATCTTTTAAAAATATAATTGAGTGAATATCCTGTTATTCTTACATATACTACCTGAATAAAAAGTGGTACACAATAGTGTTTACATATAGCAAACAGTAAAAATTTAAAGATTTAAGATTTATCCAAATAAAACTTAATTTGGATACAAAATAAGACACATAAAAATATCGCTCATTGACATATAAAATATAAACAAATATTTAATGTATCCTATTTTTAGGATGTTCATGTAAAAATATATACACATATCTACTTATTTTATTTGGATCAATATACCTATGCACATGTGTGTATACATGCATGACAACATACATACATACACACACCACATATCAAGTCCCTGGGTCACTGAGATCCTTCCCAATTTCCACAGTTTTTTCAATGTATTTTTCATAAATAAGAGGGATATTAAAATTCTATCTCCCATCTCATACTGCCCTTTCCCCAGATATACTCTGAAGTCATGAGATATACAATCGATAAATCAATGGTAAAAAAGATTGTCATCGCTCCAATTATTAGACGTAAAACTGTATTTATTACTTATACTTCAGATATGCTGCCCTTTCTAGTAAGCTTAGAATAAATAGTAGTGATCTTTCTCAATGGCAGGGGTTGCACACAGTCCAGAACAAGAGAATTTTAAGGGGTGATTATGATTCTTGCTACCTACCCCAAGCCCTGGTGTTTGTGGGACTGAATGGAACCTAACTTCTAAGACCAGAAGCACACATCTTAATTCCTCATGCCATTATTAAGTAAGATTTTAGAAATGAGGTGGGACTAGGGACTGAATTGAAGGCTCCTAGGATTTCTTTAAAGACTACGATTACTCTGGCCTATCTCCATTCACTCTAAGTATGGCAGAGTGACTTCTAGGGATTAAACCTACACTAAGGGAATGGGTGTATTCTGGAAGATGTTTATCATTGACATATATACCAACTTGGATATTTCTAAGACAAAAATACAATACGGTATATAAGAATATA